ATTCTTTCCAGCGTGCAAAAACCACAAATTCTAAACGAATAAAGGTATGTAAATATGTATGTACTTTCTTGCCATTCATTCATGTAACGGAGTTCTGTATGGTGCTAAGATCTTCTTCAAGAAGAATAAAAATATGTTGTGACAGTTTGATTTTTTCCCGTATCATTATAACATAACTAGCATGGTTCTATATTTTACTTTTGCGAATAGCGCTACCAAAAGGAAATCTAGAGAGCATGCAGTACCTGTCGTCTGTTAAACCAATTCCGTCGGTTACGTATTATCAAAGACTATACAATACCAAGATGTTGCAAACATCTGCTTTTTCAATTTTCGTTTGACGCTTCATGGTACGGGCGCGCGGGGCTAGTACTTCAATTCTCTTTTACGCTACCTTCGCCTCCGAAATGCTACTCAGCTTCGTCAATGCCTCGGTCAGCGTCGAGTCGCTGAATCGTTGACGACGGGAAGCCATCTGGAATGACTCAGCACATTGATGCTCGACTTGAATTTGGATGGTCCGATTTTTATACCCGATACTCAAAATGAGTATTGGGGTATATTAGATTTGTGGTAAAAGTGGATGTGTGTAACGTCCAGAAGGAATCGTTTCCGACCCCATATAGTATATACATATATTCTTGATCAGCATCAATAGCCGAGTCGATTGAGCCCTGTCTGTCCGTCTGTCCGTCTGCCCGTCTAGAAAATGCTTGAAGCCTTCTTTAGGCCAAGTGGCAGACGTCAAAATTCATATTTACCTCCGTTTACCAAAAATGAGGTCTTCTCAGGATCGCGTTCAGCTAGTGTGATTTGGTGGTACCCCGATTTTAAATCAAGGGTTGTAAAATATCGTTCTTTTTCCAAATTATGTGACGTTATGTTAGCAATGAATATGGAATAGACTTATAATTTCCTAGTGACATGGTGACGTAATGTGGTAGGGTGAGAGTTATGGTGATTTCGAGAACATTCTCACAATGTGAAATCATGTCACGGTGGGTACAGAATCGTGTGGGTCGACGACCTTAAGATCTTAAGACCTCACGCCGGCGATCTTTTTGGAACCAAACAGACCCGATCTACAAATGCACCCAGCTGTCCGATGCATATTTATTTAGGTCAGCGATGCAGATTACATATGTATTTATTTATTATTTGGGTCATTATTATTATCATATATTTATTTATGTAGCTTAGAAATTGGCTACCCATTTGTCTAGGTCTAATCATACGATTTTGTACTTTAATAAAATTGTTGTTGTCCACGGTTGTTGGATTTGACGAGGTGCGGACGCTGTTATGCCACATCACTGCAGTAATTAATTCAAGACCTTTAGTTTCAATTTTACAGAACCCTGCCAATCTGGATGTTCTGACACCACGCTGTTCGGAGCAGCAGCCGTTAATAGCTCTAAGGTTAAGTCTCTCTTAAGTTTTCTGTTATCGCGCTCATCCTATGTACGCTCTCAGTGCATACACGCACACACCTATGTAAAGTTCTAATTTCTTATAACCCACTGCTTCGACCCTTCCATCTGTCTAGTCGGTCGTTCCTCTTCGAGGCAGTCGGCCAGCAAGACGCCTAACACCTAAAATCGAAGTCCACTGCCACGGCCTATAGCAAAAACACACAAACAATATCGAAAAGTAAACGCCAAATTGTAAACTTAACAACGCAGCAATTTTTAATTTTTAAATGTGGAGTCGGAGTTGCCGAAAAAGCTCGGCAGTTTCCAACAAGCACAATGCTTGTATGATGGCCCTCATGCTCATGCCTTGTTCGCTGATCCTGACGTCACGCAGCTAAACACTTTGTCTCAACTGCTTCGCTGCTGTACCGTGGCAATCCAATTTCCAATGAATCCACTTCGGCAGTCGTACTAAATCCGTGTTCTTCCGACGAGCCCCCAGCCTTCAAAATTATTTCGCCGCCGGCCAAAGGGCTGTGCTTCTGGGCACGGCAATCATTAATATTTGCCTCTAATCTACCAGGGGTCCGAGACAACGTTTATCACGGAACGTCTATTCAATATAATCAAGTTTCCCTCTCAGCCGTTACAAGCTCGGTACGAATGTGTCTTCAAATGCTTTATTTCACCCCAGTCTAACAGCCTGTTATCGCTGCTGGGTACCGCGCTCAGTTAAGAGCCAGTTACATCGCCCTCTGTTGCTCTCGCTCTCTCGGTTCTGTGCGCTCTCACGATAAGCACATCGCTCACCGTTGTCTTAGCGTGTAAGCTAGAATCAGTTACGATTCCACACCGCTACAAGCTCCGTCGTGCAAATACACACGCCTGCAATTTCCATATCTGTATACGACAATACCTAAATTATATAAACTTATTAGAACAACTACGACCTGAAGTCTATTCTTTTGGATATTTTCCCACTCGTTGCTGTATACCCGTTTCGGTGATCCGCTCCACTACAAACAGATATTGACAATGATTTTGACTAGATGTTTCCAGTGTTCAAAATAAGCTGCAAACTTTTGAATTCAACTTTATTTATTAACAAATACGTAGGTATATATGTATATACATATATTATACATATATGCATCATTTTATTAAGAATATTTTCTAATTTCTAAAATGTTAACTTTCTATTTCACAATTTCATGCTATTTTTTATGCTTTACCTTAAAGAATATTCAAAGACGTTTGATGTAAACAACAAGGGAAAATACCTCTTGCTTACACATCTTGAGAGTAGGCTTCCTTTTATTCTTTTATGAATTTTTTTTATTGCTCAATATATATTTGGCACATTTTTACCTATTATATTTTATACTTTTTAATCGGACGTTTCATGAGACTAACAATATTTTTAATATCCAACGCCTGCACAATTTTAAAATATAAATTTTCAAAACAAACAAATTAACTAATTCTACTAATAAGCTGAATAAAATAATAATTAATAGTCTTCATATGTACCCTTAACAAAAACTTTAAATATGTTAATATATTATAGTCTGGGGGAATAATACTTCAGGTCCGATAAAATCTGCTAGTGTTGGTATTCTTCTCCACAGTACTATCAGTTGAAGAGTTCTGGCACTATTTTTGTCAAAACTATGTTCACCAACAAGAACAGCTCTCTGCCGCTGGGTTGAAACCAGATTAACCAAAAATTCAACTACTCACAGCTCAACTGACTCCCAGCTTTCACTGCAAGCTATTCCCATAAGGCTATCAGTTAGCAAAATCAATATCATGCGGACATAAGTTTCAGATCTTAAAAAAATAAACCTATTATTCTGCGCTTTGTCTCCATTCTGTCTCTGTCTTTGCAGCAAAGTTAGCAAAGTCTAACATCATACCACGGCTGCCAATATTGCATCTATCGACACAATTTCGCCCCTTATTCAATGTATATGTACTCATACGACACATACATATATGTATGTAGCTTTTTTTTGTGTATATACTCAAATCTTAATTTGTGTTTTTTATCCGAAGCTATTTTAATTATAATACACATACATAGTTAAATTTCCCAATCCCGGAAGAATGTCATTTGGCATTTCATATAAAAAAAAAGAATCTTACCTTTAAAAGAAAAAAATAGATGACCTATGACTTACATGGCTTAGATGACTTAGAGCAATTAAGCTTATGCCTTTTAATAAATAATTTTATTATTACCCAAACTCAAACTTTGCCCTGACATATTTGGTCTGGGCAATAACACTTTATGTATAATATAATAACACTTTTTTCGTGCTAACAGCTGTCTCAGCCCAATTTGGTTATCGGTACATCGGAATAAAATCTCTGTTACACATAACAGAGACTTTTGTGCGTATAACACACTCAGTTGTTCTCTGAACACACTGAATTGTGTGCTTAAGTACAAGAGAAAAGAAAAAATATTGATGACAAACATTTTCGAAAACGGGAGCACCCCAAAATGAATACGGAATTTTTTAGATGAAAACGTAACCACACAAAACTGATTGAAAACCGGAGCCGGCCTCATTAAGTAGTAACCTACTGAAATGAAGAAATACTCATTTAAATAAGTAATGTGGGCTTTGTGCTTAAGCTAAAAAAATGTAGAACTCTACGGCTTCCTGTATAATCTTGTTTTTTTTTTTTAATGTACGACAGTGCTGTTAAATGCTCCGTTTTTCACATTTGCAAAATTTTTCCGATTTACTTTTGAACACATATAAATTGGGGCTCCTGTTTTCACATTCCGCAAGATTTACTCGTTTTCAAAACGAAAACATTTTCGTTGACAAAATGAAAAGTAAACAGCTTTTTATACAACGAAGCGACCCTTAATTGCGACCCCTTAAAAATAGATGACTTATTGATGCATTAACATAAACTTGATACCTATATCAGGATAATTTAACTTTTGCTTTCTTTATAAATAATTTTATTTTAACCCAACCTCAAATTTGGATCGGAAAAAATTGGTCAGAGCAACAACAATTTTCGTTTTGGTGCAACAGGAAAAATATGTGAAAACTGGAGAACCTTAAAAACAAAACGAAACGTTTTGGTTGAAAACGTAATCCGCAAAAGTAAATGAAAAACGGAGCCTGAATATAAAAATCTTCCTTTCCATTTTTTTTAATCCGCCTCTTTACTTTACAATTAGTTCACCTTACGAAGCTCTGTTAAAATGCCAACTTTCATGGACTCTGTGAACCAAAAAGAACCAAAAAATTAGGCTTTCAAATTTAAAATTTATCATGTTTTCTGTATATTTTTTTATAATTTTGACTTTAAAACTCGTCGAAATAAAATAATTTCTTGTGTTGTAGTTTATTTTTTTTTTTATAGGTAATGGGGTGTTGGTTTAGTTATCACTGTTACCTCCGATACGGGTACAATTGGAAAGTTACTCTTACAAATTTAAATTGTACTAAAAAGAAACTTGAGAAATAATTTAACAAATATACGAAAATAAAGCTATAAATTAATATAAACTTAAACCATCAGCAAATATGTATGAATTAAATATCGCAAGCATTAAGAATGTCATTTCCATTAGTATTTAATCGCTAACATTGTGTACAAATTTAATAACTATAAGCTCAGATAGCTCTAGCACTCGGCATTTTATTTCCATACTACTGGCATACATACATACATTGAATAAGCCGCTCACTTGAACAGCCCCGCCTTGTTTTTACTGCAAAAATACGAACAGTATACAGAATATTGCACATAACTGAAAAGTTGTTGGTGTTTTTTTCATTTTTTTTTACTCTTGTCTTTTGCAAGCACAAAAATGTTCAGTTTCGGATAGTCCGAAAGTAAGTCCGAGTAAAAAATGTAGATTTGGCTCATTTTAGTAGCTATCCTAATTTCGTTATCAGCTTTTGTAGTATTATCGTAGAAAATTTGCAATAAATTTCTGATTCATAGCGTTTGAACTATAATTCATTTAATTAAAAAAAATGGGTGTAAGTTTGTATGTATGACACTAGAAAGAAAAATATAAAATAAAGAAAATGGCAAAACCAAATTGAATTTTTCTCAATTAAAATGGAAAAATAATATTATTCGACCCCACAAAATGTCTCGAAAAGTATATGAGGGCGGAAGACAATTTCAAGACACTGAGAACCTAATTGACGCCATTAAATCAGCATTGGCAACTATATCGATCAATGTTCTAGAAAATTATTACATGTCCTTAAAAGATCGAATATATGAAGTAATATCAAGCCATGGTGGGACTACCATATACTAACTTATACCTCATGATTACTTCTGTATGTTAAAAACATTCAAAGATGTGCTTTTTGAAATTTTAAACTCCTGAACCTATTCAGTTGAGTGGCACTGTATTTATAGTTTTTAAATGAATATTTGTAAGATCCAACGTACATTAAAGAATAAACGATCTAGAGAAAGTGTTTATTTCTGCAAAATGTACAGAGATCGTTTTTTTCGAAGTTTTATGTATTCAAAAGATGACGTACCTGCGATAGAAACGACCGGTTGATAAACAAGTCATTGTTAAAAAATCTATTTTTTCCTGAAGATAATTTACCCAAAAACTTGAAAAGTCTGTCTTATATGTAGATAAGCAATTTAGTAGCAAAACAATAATGCAGCATGTTATATAACATCAGCTATAAATAATTGAAATTGTATGAAAATATACTATGATTATAGAAAAACGATCGATCTGCAGTGTCCGAAACTAGCCCACCAGATTGTTTAAATGTAGAACGTACATAAAAAGAAATTGTCAATGTTTTGGCCAAATAACTTAAATTCTCAAGGATTATGCTTTTACACAAGGGCTCTAGCTGTAATTATGTGCATACTTTATATCGTCAAAAAGTAAAGAGCATACCAATAAATTTCAAATCGGGTAGTCTTTAATCCTATAGTATCAGTGATTCGTGGACTCCGACACACGGACAGATGGACATTGTGATATCGAATCGCATAGAGCATAGAATCCCCGATAAATAAAGCAGCACATATAACATCCAAAATAGTATTAAAGTATCCAAAGAGTATTAATGCCAATATATATTGTGTTCTCACAAAAATATATGTATGCATGAAAATAATGAAACTATAAATATTAACAGATTCAATTATCTGAAACATTTTTAGTTTGTAAACACTCGTTTTTTTTTTAAATGTTATTGTGGAGGTCTACAGCGTCCAGCTGATGTTCCAGAAAAGTCCAAGTCTTTCTGCTCTATGATAGGAATCCGGTCGTCGTACAATGTTGGTGCCTGCAATATGATCCCAGCTGTTCCGGCAAGAACTGCTAACGTAAATATCCACAAAAAAAGTCTATCCAAAACCATTGCGACGTACTTCCAGTCTTCCTTTACCTTTTTGAATTAAAATAAATGTTAACATTTTATTTTAAACATTTTATTTTAGATTACTTTTGTTGAGTCCTCTTGCATTTTGGTATGCTCCGCTATAAAACGGACACAGAAACAGCTTTTGTGGATTCTTGGTGGACATTTAGAGTGTGAAAATGCTGGGTTGTTTAATATTGGACTTTTTATCCCGGAAGAACCAATATCCAAGTCTGGAACAGCTGCCAAATCGTCAGAGCTACAATTAGTAAGTGTTGGTAGTGGGCCATGAACTTGACAACTTCCACCAAATGGGCCATTGGCAGTTAAGCTATAATTTCAAAATGGAAAATATTTTTAATATATACCACACAATTATTCAATATTGTATTCTTATTTGAGATGACAAGATAGTTCCAGTTGAATATCGTGTTTAATAAATTGAATAATGAAATTAATGAATTAGAAAGAGAATTGTGCGACCTTTTACACGATTTGGAATTACATTTAAAGTAAACAAGTATTTATTGTAATTTAAAATCTGATTGATTTACTAAATATCTCGACCTTTAACATCTTTTGAACATTTATTATTTTGAACCATACAATTTACATTTTTTTTTATATTTTAACGTTGAAAAAACATTTAAAATGGTATCAAACTTCATCTTTTTTTAAATAGAATAGAAAATCCTGTGAAAGGTCATACCATTTGAATTCATTCATTTTTGAGGATTTCCTTGATGCGGATGCCGAGTAAAAATTATGGAAGTACACAAAGTCACAAAATCGCAGTTTCTTTATGTAAAAAGAGATGTTGGGGTATGTTAAACTAAACACACACAATGGATCTCGCGATTTTAGTGGAAGGCCAAACATATGATACATATGTTGTCATATAGTGTGACTTCATAGTGTTCTGAACAGAATATTCAGTTACTTAAGTTCTCTCAGATCTTGGCGCTTAACAAGATGGACGGACGGACAAACATCGCTATATGGTCTATGCTATTGATGCTAATCAAGAATATATATTTGTATATACTTTATTAGGTCGGAAACGCTATCTTCTGTCTGTTACGAAGATTTATACGAACTTAATATACCACTGTCCGATTTGAAACTGTATGAAAAGTTTCGAAGTCAATACGACGGCGTCAGTCTCTTCGATATCACATACTTGTGCAAATATCAAGTAAAGCATTATGATATATATGATTAACACGTAAATATTAGTGATGGATTCAATACTTTCCTCTGCGACAACTCTTCCTTAGATTGTGTATGGGTGTATCGTGAAGATACAAGACGATCTATATTGGTCGACGAGTAGTATGGGTAAAAGCATGCATGTGTTTCCTTTAGGAGCAGTTTACTGAAAGAGGTACAAAAATGTTAATTAGTATGAAAAATAAATATTTTTAAAATTCGTAAGATAAAATGAATATTATTAAAGAGATTATTATATTTATGGTATAAAACTATCTATAATGATATTTATACGATATATACAAGAGTGACGAGAGAGTGGTAGATTTGTGGTGAAAATGGATGTGTGTAACGTCCTGAAGGAAGCTTTTTCGACCCCATTCCGTCTGACCATCTGTCCGTCCGTTCGCTTGTCCGTCCCTATGAGCGCCTAGTGCTCAGAGACTATAAAAGCTAGAGCAACGACATTTTGTATCCAGATTTCTGGATACCGCACATACCAAAAAATGTTCCTAATTAAATGTGGCTATTGATGTATCATTAGATGTACATATTTGTTGAATTTTGTTCACATAGCGCCATTCGATGATTTTAGGCAAAATTATTTCGTCGGTAGGGGTTGATCTTGGAATTACTGGCAGTGTTTGGCGTAAATCGCCAGAAAATAAAATCATAACGCCTCCAAAATATTTCAAGTCATTGCGTAGATATTTCAATGTTCGGTCAAGTGCTTCTAATGCACGCTTATGCGCCATTGCGCACTCGTCCCAGATGATGATTTTCGATTTTCGATTTTCGATTTTCGACTTTGGCCATTGCAGTTTTTTTCAATATTACATATAGGTTCATCAATATTTTGAAGATTTAACGGTAATTTTAATGCTGAATGAACCATACGGCTAACAATAACTATCTAACAATGTGGCTGCTATTCCAGAACTAGAACCTGGAAGATACGAGAGAAATCAAAAACGCAATCACCAAATATTCCAGATTGGCGAATCTGCGTTAAAAAAGTTCCGTTTCATATGTTATCTCGTTTGTTATCGCATTTTACCAGTTTTCGACACAATGATCCTCTAATTAGCTTTTCATTGATCTTCATACGTACACTCGAAATGAAAGGTTTTTATGATTATGCTTGTCCCCAAGAATTCATAAAAAAGCTAGAATTAATTAATAATGTATCTGTATAATGTGAGCATGTTCAGTTGCTTATCCAAAAATAAGACGGAAATTATTTAGGACCTTGGCAGTCTGCTTGATATGGTCATTCTCTACGATTTTACGATTTTTGGTTTTCTAGTGTTTTTAAAGTTGTGAATGCCACAGATTTTCGTCCTTTGTGGGGGCGGAAAAGGGCTTGGCAAAATTTTGATATCACAGGAGTCTGAATACAAAATTTCGTTGCTATATGCAATATATAGTCTCTCAGCCTAGGCGTTAAAAAAGACGAAATGTTATTTATTAATCTAAACATTGCACAACAGCCACTAACAAAACTTACTAAATTAACCATTCTTTTCTTACCTTGTTTCAAAATTATACGTTGGTCTCTTTATAAACAGAAATTTTGGCAGAAAATCAATAAAAACGCGTTTTACCCAGGGAGCCATTCTATGAGTTTGCGGAGAACGGAAATGAACGTTAAGAACGACGACAGTAACGCAGATACTTTAAGTAGATGAAACAGAATTAAATGCATGAATTTATTTAAAAAATACAACATTACCTTATTGAAACGAGTATCATAGCAAATATTAGGTATTTTCCCAGCAAAGGTACAACCAGCGATGTCGGAGGTATGATTTCGACAACCAGAAGAAAGAACACATGAAGGCTAATCAAAATGGAAATTGATAACGTAACCTAGAAATATAAATTCCAATATATAATACTATAAAAATGTTGACATATTTTACAAACCTTTTCTCCGCTATCAGATGGCAAGTAGAAGGTGAGCACAGTCAAAAATGAAATCCCCATACAAGGTATAATTATGTTAACAGTGTAAAAAAGAGTTTTTCTTCTCATTGTTATATTGAATGTTATGTCCAGGTAAGGTTCATCGCAGCAAGTGTAAAACTTTTCATTTCTAAAGCAATAAATAATAGTTTTTATATAAATATAGTAAAATATTTATTAAAAATAAACTAAAGTATTTTTAATTCTATATTAGAAAAATATAAATGATAGGCATTTTAAATTTAAATTTTCTCAGCGAACTAAAATTTAAATGTCAGTAGTAACTAGTTAGTAGTAGTACAAATTCAACTTCATCCACTCATCAACCGCAATCAATTCGGTCCTATTTACATTGTCTAATTACAGGTTATTTATATAAAATATTGGCCTATAGTATTTCCACAGAGTGTACCGAAAGGCAATTTTTCGGAAAAAATTCTACCGTCAGCTCTTAAGTGGACCGAGTTTAGTCTTTTTTTTAGTTTTTTAAATACTCATAATAAATTCTGCCAGAAGGAGGAAAATTTTGAAAAGCACTTGTAACAGTCTAGTATAACCGGCGTCTGGGCAGACAGACATGGCTCAATCAATTCGGCAATTGATGAAATTCAAGAATATATATGCTTTTTGCGTCGGAAACGCCTCCTTCTGGGTGTTACAGACATTCATTGACACCACAAATCCTATATACCCCTTAACTCTTTTTGAGTATCGATTATAAAATCGTCATTAACTTTCAAGAAATACAAAACAGTGAAATTTCAACAAGTTTCAATGGATTTTCATCAGTTCTTGTCATTCATTGTGTTTTCATAGCAAATTTAAAAAATTCGAAGTGTCATTTATTTAGTGTTGCATTTTAAATTTATCGGCAGTTAAACGTGCGGTTTATGAAAATTCAAGGCGAAAATTTACCTTTTGATATACAAAAATAAAAAGAAAGGTTTAGCCCGATTTGACCACGCTTAGCGGTGCAGACTTGATCTCAAAGATCTCGAAAATAACCACTGCAAAATTAATTTGTTCCATCTGGCTATAATAATGGTCCGATCTGATCCAAATTCGGCAGTCTGTATTTTTTGTGTCTTCAAAATTGTGGATGCCACATATTTATGTTCTTTGTGAGGGCGTATACTGATCAATAATATATATACTTAATGCGGTCGAAAGCGCCTACTTCTGAGCGTTACACACATGCATTTTCCCCATAGATCTAATACTCTATAATACCGTGTACTCTTTTTGCGTATCGGGTAAAAAAAATACGATGTTTGACTTATGGTTTCTATCACAGCTATAATATATACTGATCTGATCAGTTTTAAATTGTGTGATTTAGAATATGAAAATATAGTCCCGCTCCGAAAATATTAACTTGATAGACTAACTCGATATTTAAGCCACCAATAAAAGGATAACACTCCACTTATATATTAAAAGTGCGGATACGGCGAACGTTGTCTCGTCCCAATTTAATCCATTCATATAAGCTGTAGAGTGATAATAAAACACAGATAGTTCAAGTTGTATTTTAATTTTTTTTTTTTTAAACCATTTTTAGATTAAAAACGAGGCGGAACGTTGTGAGTTGCTGCGGACACCGCAACTCGGTATACTCGGGAATTGGAACTCGAGCGGATCTACAAAAATCTCCGCCCGAAGTATCAGACGCACAAAGCAGGAAGGATTTTCGTTCACTCAAGGAATTGACCCAGCTGATCTCATCTCAACATACACAGGCAATGGAACAACCACGGAACGAGGCACCGCACACGTGGCATCCGGGGAACCGAGACCGCCAACTGGGGGAACGGCCAGGAGGAAGATCAGGCGATCGATGTACAACGAGCCTGCCAGCGTGCACCAACCGACAGAAGCAGTTCTGCTGGGAATGTGGCCGCTGAGGATCCGTCCGCACCATCAACTGCTGCCGGAAACCCGGGAAACAGGTCGGGTCTCCGCCCAACTGAGGACACATAGGTATCTCTTCTTATACTACCCACGGTATTAGTCGACTTCATCTTGGAACTCGACTTCCTACATATGTGACATCCGTCGTTACCACCTTGGAACTGGAGGACATATCGCCGTGGCGGCCAGACCCAGACTCCGAACCATCCCAATTTCTAGAAGAGGAATTGGCGAATTTCGACGGGCATGCTCCGACATCGCCAAACACACGGTAATGATGCCGGACTACAGGCCCGTGAAGCAGAGCAATTTCCCCAAGAACCCGATCATGCAGAAAATCATCAACGCACAGGTAGACGAGCTGCTACGGGATGGAAAGATCGAATCATCCATAGGTCCCCAAAACGCTCTGATCGTTTTGGTAGGAAAGAAGACCGGGGAGATGCGAATGTGCTTGGACTATCGCCAGCTGAATGACCGTTAGCTACTTGACGCCTATCCGCTACCACGGATTAATCAAATCCTTGAGAGACATCGGAGCTACAGCGCGCTACATATCTGGACATTGTCATCGGACCCGCCATGGAGCCGTACACGTTCGCGTATTTCGACGACATCATCGTCATCGGACCTACTATAAAGCCGTACGCGTTCGCGTATCGCGACGACATCATCTTCATCGGAGCCACGCTAGAAGAACACGTCGGCAACCTTAGAGAAGTTTTCAGGAGGCTGCGAGAGGCGAACCTCCGACTAAACAGAAACAAGTGTAGTTTCTTCAGGGAGAGTTTAGTCTATCTCGGCCATGTCATCAGCGAACGAGGCATCCACACGGATTCAGACAAGATCAGCGCAGTACAGAAACTATCGGCACCCAGCACTCTGAAGCAGCTGCGACGCTGCATCGGGATGGCATCGTGGTATCGACAAGATGGTCCAACCCGTGACGTATGGACGCGGAGCAGTGTAGACACAACAGATCGAAGGAGCAGAAAGAGTCATCGCTTTTGCAAGCCGTCAACTACTCAAGACAGAAGAAAACTTCTCGGCAACAGAAAAAGAGTGCCTTGCCTTGTCTGGGCAATGCGACAGCTCCGATGTTTTCTGGAAGGCAACCTCTTCGAATCATGGAACACCTCACGTTGAAGTGAATAAACTCCATCGAATATCATACGGGACGCATCGACCCCTGGGCCTTGGAGCTCCACCAATATGGGTGACATACACCACCGACGAGGAAACCAAGACGGTGTGGCAGACGCCCTCTCACGACAACCAGTAGCGACCCTGCAACGAGTGGATTGAGAGCGATTAGATATACAAGCGAGCCAGCAGCAGAACCAGGACCATCCAACAGCAGGACACCTCGGGATCAGGACGACAGGAACACGGATAGCCCAGAGGCTCGGACTGCACCGAGATGTCGCCCGAAATATCCGGCAGTGTACAAAATGCCAGCAGTACAAGGTGAGTCAAACCAAACCAAGAGGGAAGATATACACCCGCCAAGCCCGGGAACCACTGGACATCGTATGCGCCGACTACGAAGGACCATTGCCACGCTCCAAGCACGGCAACACTATGTTGCTGGTGTTCTTCGACGCCTTCAGCAAGTGGGTGAAGTTTGGCCACCACCGCACTACTGGAGACAGCTTTCCGGGAACGGATCCTGAGCCACTTCGGAACCCCACGGAAGTTCATATGCGACAACGGGACCCAATTCACAATTCCTTCCGAAAGTTATGCAAGCGGAAGTGGAGTATACGGCGCCTTACACCCCACAACAAAACCTGACGGAACGAGCCAACAGGATGATCAAAACCATGATCGCCCAGAATACCCAGCAGGCATCACAGACGCAGAGCAGGACCTACAACCTACGTATTGGAGACCCATGAGTTAAATTTATTTCTACCATCATAGCACGACTCCAGAAGATTCCGGGAAGACAGTGACGAACGGCCGGACTAGCCAACCTCAAAGCCCACCACGGCAATGAGAACACCCACACCAGCGAAGACGACGAATACGACGACGACGACGACCCCAGCACTAAAAAAACCGTGAGTTCATGAGGGCCGCTTATGGTAGTGCGCTGCCATAATGACGTCGCCCTGCAAGGGTCAACCGCGTACACACGCAGTAAGATAGCCTTAACTCCTCTTAAGAGATTAGAGTAGAACGCACCGATCAGGGAAACCCAATTGTAGGCATCAGTGGTCAGGTTCTAACCAAACAAGGTTTCTTCCTCCACCAGATCCGAGATGGACAACCGGAGGACAAGTGACGCCCGGACGAGCAACACCTCGACTCAAAGAGCCTCGAGGATCTCTTCACCTCCGCGAGGTGGCTTAACGACATCGACCGCCAGAGCAAGTCGCGACGAACCCTTTCCGGTATCCCACGGTGACGATGCTGTCATCGGACTCGGACGAGGAGATCCGAGTAGGCCGAGCACAGCAGAAGCCCACCAAAAGCCCACGCTGCCGTATGAATCATGGCCTAGGAGCAGGCGCCGCCGTCACCCCACGCACGTCTCGAAGACGCGTCGAGCCATAATGCGACGAGCTAAATACCAATAACAAGATTCAGCATTCTTTACTGACCGTCGTCTCCAAATAGGCAGGCTAAAGCAAAAGAAACCTAAAGAATAAAAATCATTCAGAACTAAAACTCAAACAAAACCCTTATTTCAACTGGAGCCGTCGTTGCAACGACGGGCTCTTACTCGGACATTAGCGACGACAGAGACGGGCCGGACAACCGCCAGAAGGACGCTCCAGCCAGCGTAGCGGCTGGCGTGGGACCCTGGACCACCTGGGAAAACGCCGACGAAACTTTGCAGCTGCTTCTCGCCCACCCATGGCCCATTACCCCACCCAGGTCCGAGAGGTAGGTATGCTCGGCCACAGACAACGACACAGCAAGCGACGAAGAGACGCGACGCATAGGGGAAGACGACACCACCCTGCTACGCAGCAGCGACGGCATTTTGGGCGAAGAGTAGCCCCGACGGCTCGGGGTCCTCGCCCTTCAGGGTGGACCTGGCCCGATCCCGGACAGCAGCTGGGATGAGGGATGGCACGCTCAACTGCAGGAGTGGGATGCGTAGGAGGTGGCGAAGGCCCCGTGAAATCATGAGTATCCCAACGAAGAGATGGGCCGTATCCCCGCCACCAGAGGAGAGAGACTCGGCCGGGTTAATTGGCAGCCCCTGGACTACGAGCAGATGGATTGGCTATCCCCAGTTCCCACCAACTGCGACGTCCCGAACCCAGAAACAATGGACCGCGCGGCCGGAGTGCCAGGACCAGGAAACCCTTACCAACCAAAGGGAAACAGCGACCTGTCACTGGGCCTGGACTAGTCGGTGGTGGACTGCTCACAGGGTTCAACGAGCCCATAGGGCTTTATTGTTCCGTTACACTTATCTCATTTACCCTTGACACATCAATGAATCCTTGTTTATCCCCTTGTAGGTACTCCCCAGTTAGATTGAGTAAATTGACTAAGGAAAACCAAAACGGTGAGATCCTTTTTTTGAGCAGCCATAGGGTATAACGAATTAAAAACCAAAACCAGTGCCAGAGAACCACCAAAAGCATAACTAGCAATGGGCCTACCTCAACATAACGAAGGGGAAGCATCAGCTCACCACGAAAAAGCCCGGGGAAATCACGCCTACGTCACACTCTCAGAGCAGCGGCGCCAAGAGAGATGAACGCCTACGCAGCCAAATCAAGAGAGCCTGACTAGCGCAGAAATAGCCAAACGACAATATCAAAGCCAGCAAGGATTATAGGAAGAAGGGGAGATACCGGCTTCTCACACCCCCGAGCAGAGGCCAGCAGCGGAAAGCTACAAAGTAGCAAAGCGACAAATAAGCTGCCGGTCTTCACACACAAATCCCGCTGTGGGGAATCAAGTGAGCTGCGACGAAGTTCGTACCTCTCCCTAGCTACCGCCTTAACCTAACCTAACCTTATGTGTTTATGTCAGTAGTCTGTTTAGTAGTCTCTATGATTATAAGTTTTCGGCTTTCTCGTATCTCCAAAACTGCGCTTTAACTTGTTTGCCAGTTTTTATATTAAATTCATAATTGTTGTTATATTAAATTCATAATGTATGTTACAACCTCAAGGAGGCAATTTATCAATCAGAATCACTAACCAATATAGACATGTCGCAAAAATTCTCTAACATAAGAAAATGTAAAGAAAACCGGAAACGTATTATAAGGAACGACCCTGGAATAAATGATGTATTATATTGGCTAGAACAAAGGTTCGGTTATTATATTGTATTGCGGCACATGAACATCAACCCTAACGTTTCGACTGGTTATTATATAGATTCATTGGTCGCGAAATTTCAAAGTTATATAAACTTCGGCTTGCATAAGCTAGCTTCCTTATTAAAATATTTATCTGAATATATTTCACTTTCTTACCTTACAGCTGGAACCTCGAGAATATCCCATTCAACAGACATATAAAACTCTGATAAATCCACACCAACATCCACGACGTTGCTTCCCAATTGCTCATCCATATGCCTCAAGTCAACCTTAGAAAATGCAATACAATTCATTATAAAATGTGTTAAATTAATAAGAGGAAAATGTAAGACTCATTGTTACGTTGATAGATATTTATGTTTTTACATATCATCACAAAGAATTTTTAGAAAAGAGTAATCTCTGCGATAAATTAAACATTTAAAACCAAACAATGGTATATTTATGACATTTATGTAGTTTGCCAATTTAACGTATGTAGATAATAAATCGGAATCACATGCAAACTATTTACACCTCATTCAAAAATTTAACATAGTTACTGTTGATTAAGATTAGATAATTTTACGAAAATTTATAACAATTAAATACAAAATGCAACAACAAGTTCTGCTTCGGAGGCCGAAGCATTTAATACCCGTTATATATTATGATACATAATATATGATACAGTCACTCGATTTTGATTATTTTAGACAGTTATGTCTATATATTCAACAGTATTCGCCTTCACAAGGAAGAGAGTTTGTTTCGCAAAGACTTTAAGATATGATATAATTATTTGTATAGATGACTTTTCTTATGAGTAATCGAAAAATCGACCGACCTGCAAAAAATTATAATTGCCATTATGGCATTACTTAATTAATTTACATTTTTTAATTTATTTTAAATTATGCAGTTTGGTTTAGTTGAAAAATATCTAATATAATATTACACCAAGTACATGTAATAAGTTATTATTATATTGTTCTGCTACACGTTTCTAAACTTTGTTATACAAAAGAAACTGCATAGCAAAAAAACATAGCAATTAAAAACAAACAAATAATAAATAAAATAAAAGATTAAAAAATAAATATAAAACGAAAAATTCTATTTTTTCGACTTAACGAAATTAACGAACTCCAGTCATGCGTGAACGGCGGAAATTTGAATGGAACCATTAATTAAGCACTTGAGAAAACTGGGAATTACATTGACTCACTGTACAAATTTTAAACAATCAATCATTCGATACGAACAGAGATTATTGATATTTTGGGTTTTAATGAAAATACGCTATTTTTAACATGAGGATGATGATAAATAAATGACGATTTAAATTCAGAAACCAAAAATATATGAAATTTGAATATTTTGTCTTAATTCAAATGCCGGAAAAAGAGATAATTGAAAAAAAATTGACTTGAAATTTGGTACTAGGTAATTGGTAAAAAAAAAAACGAAAGAATTTTAAATAATGTTATCGGACATAGGATACAGCGGTCCAAAATATATGCAAATTGACTCGAACCTTCTCGGGACAGACATATTTTTGTGGAGATGTGTTATTAACCATTTTGATACAAATATAAATTTAATGAATTCGGTTCACTGAAATATATGTACATATGTACATTGTACATTGCTCAACTGTGTCGGGTCAAGCAGCTTAAATATTGTAAATGGATGCCAGTGGTGCGGCCCAAAGGAAATGCATTTTGTTGTTGTCATTTCCTTTGCCCCCACTGTAAAGATCATTTGCTACCGCATATGCACAGCGGAATTCTTTCGTCTATTTATATCGCAATCTCTCGTACTCGGCTTAACAGCGGCCCCGAGCAGCTCTAACGGTCTCGGGCTATCCTACTCTCTCGCTCGCGTCTAAGTTTGCTGCATAGGGCCCGGCAATTTGGCCCGTCAGCCCTTGCATTGTCAGTCTTGAGCTAATCGTCGCAGCTATTAGATTAACATCCTCGCATCAATCGTTCGCCCAATCATCCCCATATGTACCTACGCGATAAGTTGGTTTACATATGCAAATAAATTGTGAATTATATACAACCTCTCGACTTTCATTAACTTCAAATTGTAACAGTTATTAAAAACGCTTAATAGCTTAACAAACTGAAAAAGTTCAAGCCGCTATATTTTGTCAACCAACTTACCGATTTTGATTAAATCATTTTTATACCCGATACTCAAAATGGGTATTCGGGTATATTAGATTTGTGGTGAAAATGGATGTGTGTAACGTCCAGAAGAAATCGTTTCCGACCCCATCAAGTATATATATTCTTGATCAGCATCAGAGCCGAGTCCATTGAGCCCTGTCTGTCAGTTCGTCCCTATCAGCGCCTAGTGCTCAAAGACTACAAGAGACAGAGCAACGATATTTGATATCCGGACTTCTGTGATATGTCACTGTTACAAGTTTAATTAAAAACTTTGCCTCGCCCACTTCCGCCCCCACAAAGGGCGAAAATCTGTGGCATCAACAATTTCAAAGATACGAGAGAACAGAAAACGCAGATTCGTAGAGGATGACTATATCTTCTAGAATGCATCTGAACGAATGAATCTGAATCAAGAAAACAATTTCATTCTTACCGCTCTGTCTCTCTCTAACACATTGCAAAATATGAGTTCAAGGATCTCAGAGACTATAAGAGCTAGAGCAACCAAATTTGGTATCCACACTCCTGTGATATCGAACCTGTATATTTCAAAATTTCGCCACACCCCCTTCCGCCCCCACAAAGAACGAAAATCTGCGGCATCCACAAATCTCAGAGACTATTAAGACTAGAGCAACCAAATTTGGTATCCACACTCGTGTTAGATCTCACTATAAAACGGATATTTCGAAATTTCGCCCCACCCCCTTTCGCCCCCACAAAGGACGAAAATCTGTTGCATCCACAATATTGCAGATTCGAGAAAACTAAAAACGCACAATCATAGAAAATGACCATATCTATCAGATTGTTGAATCTGGATCAGATCGGATTATTTTTATAGCCAAAAGGAACAAATCAAATGCAGTGGCTATGCAGCGCCCAACGACACGCTCAGACTGATTTTCTGCCTCTCTTGCACGCACTCTTTGTCGTGTCGTTTAATATTGGCGGCGTCTGCCGGAGGAGAGCCATACTGACTAAGTATCGGGTATAAATGTAGAGTTGCGGTCGCCGCAGCAACTCACAACGTTCCCCCTCGTTTAAAGCTATAACTATGTATGTATAAGCTTGTATGCGACTGTCAAAATTAAAGCAGATGCATCAGCTCGTTTTCGTCAATAACATCATTACCAAGACTTACCAAAAACCAGTTTGTCTTCAATTTAAAGTTAGTTTTTTTGATAAATGGAATATTCTGAATAGATGATTTCGAAAAGTCAAATTCACACTGAGTCAGTACTGAGTCGGATTAATTTTGTGTTTTCCAAAATTGATAGTTAACAGCTGCCATCAGACTCATTTTGTCTGTTAGACTTAAGTATCAAACAATTTTAATAAATTATATTTATTTTTAATTTTTTGTTATTGTTTTAAAGATAAATATTTGTTTTAAAATATAAATGTCCCAGACTAGAAAAAGTACAATTATGTTATTTACTGTTATTTTTGAAACAACTATACAGTAGTCTATGCAAAAATTCAGTTACAAAGATTTTTCAAAAGATAATGCGGGGCATCAAGGTGGACATCAAAATGGAGGGTGGGTGGTCAGGGACGGCTTATGGGGAGTTAATTATATCTTCCTGTTGGGCAGGTCTGTCGGAATGGTACGGACAAGTCTACGCCTGGTTCTGCATTTTGAATGATTACGTCATTTCGATTGGTATCTAGTAGCTTGTGTGTTTATGACATCACCAACTAGGGGGTCCCTGAGGTCCTTGGCTATTTTATAGTTACGGATGTACCAATCAGCTCCAGAAATCTTGCTTAACATTTTGCTTTGGAACACCCTGATTATATTGACGTTAGATTTGGCTGCGATACCGTAGACCTTTATTCCTTATTATTGTGAATAAGCAGAGCAAAGAATGGAATGCTTTGCTAAAGTCCGTAAAAACTACATCCGTCTACAAACTACTTTAAAAACCACAGTGGATTAAGTTAGAAAACTCGAGAAGGTTGGTCGATGTTGAACGATCGCTCTCTTTATTAGGGTTTCCGAAGAATCTTCTAAATTGGATTTTGTCCTATCTCTCTAACCGTACTCAACGTGTTATGTTTTCTAATGTTCTGTCAAATATCGTTAATGTTACTTCAGGAGTGCCACACAGAAGTCATCTGGGCCCGCTTCTGTTTATTCTATTTGTGAATGACCTTCCTCAAGTTATAAAATACTCTACTACACTAATGTATGCTGATGATGTTAAAATCTGTCTGCCTTAATCTGATTGGTATGTGCGCCTTCATGCCTGCAAGCTTATGACATTTTGTCTCATATTTTCGAGGAAATCATGTCCTGGAGCGAATTTCGAATTCAAATGACCTCGGAGTCCTATTTGATCATAAGATGTGTTTTAACAGCCATAAAGCTGTCGTTCCATCTAGACCTACCCGTACTTTTATGCCATAACTAAAACTCCCTCTGTCATACCTTATCCCCTGAATTATCCTTTAAGCTAATAGCATGTAAGATTTATAATCATCTAAATTTAACAAACTTTTAACGTCTCTTCTTTCCTCCTTTTCTCCTTTTGTAACTAAGTTCCATTATTAGCAGATAATTGTTAATTAAATAAATATTCACGTTTTGACTTGATTTGGTCATCTCGTGTAACGCATCTGAATGGTGCTTAGTCTGCTCGTCTCCCGTTTGGATGTCTACGTAAGTGATATTCAAAAGCTATCCTCTCGATCCTTATTTGTTGCTGATGACGAAACCAATTTTTTTGCGAGCATTTAATAATATGTGATTCTGAACAAGTCTGAGCTATGACTGACGTAGTACAATAGTATTCAATCCTCCCAAACATCGACCTCTTAATACTTAATTGTGCTTGCGTTTTTACTTAAGTTTGTCTGTTTTCCTTTACAACTTTCCTGTTGTAAAAAAACGAAAAAATATATGTATTCAGCCAGTTTCCGTTTTTCATTTTCACAAAAGTTTTCCGACTTACTTTTGAAATCACATTTATTGGGGCTCCCTTTTTCACAATCCGCAAGATTTCTTACTTTTCAAAACGAAAACATTTTCCTCGACGAAATGAAAAGTAAACGGCTTTTTATTCAACAATACGAATTTTAATTGCAAAAGGAAAACAATAGATGACTTATTGATGCATTAACATAAACTTGGCACCTATATCAGTGCAATTAAACTTTTGCTTTCTTTACAAAATAATTTTAACCCAACCTCAAATTTAGCCAGGGCAACAACAATTATCGTTTTGGTGCAAACAGCTGACGCAGTACGATTTGGAAAGAAAGAAATTTTTACGCATTACAGCACAAAAATTCATGTAACAGCTCAGACTGTGCTTTTAACATGCGCTTAACAGAACATCTGGGTAAGCACAGCTGTTTCCCGCCCCATTTAATTTTGACTCTAAAATGTAAATGCCGCAAATAATTTTTTTTTTTTAATTCCCGCTTCTTTATATCCAGTGGAATGCATACATCATCTTTCTCCAAAATCATTTTGAAAGTCGGAAATCTTGACCATTAGCAATATAATTTTCAATTTGCATGTTAACTGTAAGTTACTTACAGTTCGTCAGACATGTTAGATACACAAGTGTTGCATCTAAGATGTCTGGTACTTCTTAGATCACAAAATTTCTGCTGTCGTATGCTTAAAAAAAGCAATTGAAAAAATAAGAGGCATTTTAATCACACCGTATTTTTACAAAGCATCCAGATCAGCTGTTTTTGTTTGCCAGACACAAAAAAAATATGTGAAAACTGGAGCACCTTAAAACGAAACGTTTTGGCTGAAAACGCTACCCGCAAAAGTAAGTGAAAAACGGAGCCTGCCTGATTATCTAAATTGTATAGCCGTTTCCGATTTTTTGCAGGAGTTGATTAAATATAAATATATTAGTACATATACTTCTTGTGTATGTATAGGCAGTGAAACATTTTTCATATACCTTTGGCTTAAAATTATGAGGATTCATACAAATTTCACTCACCACAACTTTCTGGAATATCCATCGATGAAAAAGTTTTCGAAAATTTAGAGCTATAAAGCTGTATGCGAAACACGACAAAAATAAATCCACAAAAAACGAATCTCAAATGCTCGATTTCGATTTTTCCTCAGATTTATCTTGTGAGCAACCGCAAAATAGGTTTTTTTTACAAAAACGTCTCACTCTATTGTTTAGTAAATAATTTCTTCTTGTCAATTTAAATAAACAAATGGTGTGCGAGTTCAAGTTATCGCTATCGTTAATTTATATCACAAAATCATAAAAAACGATTAAATTAGAATAGGTTTCTCAATAATTTGTTTCTGAAAAACATTTAACCTGAGCATGGGGATTCCTTTTAGGGGTGTAACATTTTCTTGGTTTCTTTCGTGCTTCCGCACCGGATATTTCGGATATTTTCCTCTCCTCATTTACAGTAATTCTCAATATAATCACAGAATACGATACTTAGTCGTTAATAACAATCATAAATGACTTTAATCTTCTCCTCTATTATTGTCTTGCTGTCTAGCCATTACCAATTCAAATAGTGCGCGAGATCAAGTTATCGCTATCGTTAAGTTATACCAAAAAATCATAAAAAAGGATTAAATTAGAATACGTTTCTCGAATAGAAAAAACATTTTTTTCGAATGCTTGGTGCAATTAAAATTCACTGTTTCAAATAATATGTTTTCCTAACCTATCTGAAAGGGAAGTAAACGGACAGACGGACTGTTAAATAAGGCGGCCATAAGGCGCTAAGATTTTAACGGAAAATGCACTGCTGACCAAAATAAATATGCAACAGGCAGCAGGATGTGTCTATTAATACAGATGATAAAATTCATGATATGGGTACTAACTGTATATCTGTAGACCTCAGTAAACAATTGTAAGCGTAAAAAAATGTATATATATCGCACAATTTTACTCAATAAAAGCAGTACTTATAAAACTTCAGTAGCTGGAAATCATTCAGAAAAAATAGTCGATTGGATGAGCAGCTCCGGTAGGACTAAAACGAGCCACCATAAATCAAATCCTAGTGCTCATTAAGCACGGTACTAGGCGACTTACGTGAGGGTTCGAGGAAACAATCCGAATAGGCCCACTGGTCGAAAAGGTGATCAGTAGGATTCGATCATTGAGGGAAACCTTTTCATATATGTATGTATAAGGACGGACACAATGCCTCGACTTGGTTATTATAGCTGGTATAAATAAATGTTTTCTTAACGGATCAGAAACGTTATTCGATTTCAATAAATACGTTGTTACATCAACAATCATTTTTTAGCATATTATTTTACTTCTCTAATTACCACATGCAACACAATATTTACGCTTCGAACCAAACCGATTATTTCGGATAGATTTATTGCTTTAAATTTGTGATTTTTTTTTAAATTAAAAATGGTGGTGTTGTAATATTCTTCACATAACTTTAGTATCTTACATCTGGTTGTATTGCATATTGAAATTCTGTAAAGCTGATAAATGTAGCTAGAAATTTTACATGAACACTTTGTAGCTTCAGCTTACCGTCTGGAAAATATTGGGCTTACAAATTCAAAATTGATCACTTTTTGCGGTAGATTTTTCAAAAAAGTATCTTTAAAAACTTACAAGTCGAAAAAATGATTTCTTGTGTTTTTCCTTTTTTATGTATAGCTACATTAATTAGGCGTTTGTAAATACCGTTCCACACCTTCCCAAATGCCATGCTCAAATGAAAAATCAAACCCAGAATATGTATTGAAAAAGAGATCAGTTGTCAAAAGACGAGAAAGAGATTACCGAGATTGGATGGAGATGGTCGTCATCTAGAAGAGCCGGAATTTCGGTTTTAATTCCATTGCTCATCGATGGTATTGACTTGACTTTCACGTCAGTGATTGTTTCTAAGGAGTTCAGGGATCCTTTTAAATCCATACTGCTGTCAATACAATTATAACATTTCTTTTTTACTAACGCACTATTCCAAAATGGAATTCTATAAAATCATCAATTTTGCTAACCATTTTATAACATAGTAAAGCAATTTCAATAGAGGGGCTTAGTAGCTAGGAGTTCAGAAATATATAACTTTTCACAAAAACAATACTATTAAATAAAAAATAGTAAGCATTGTAAAAACGTGCGAGATTTTTCAAACTATTTATAAACGGAGTACAGGCAAAATATGGCCATGAACAAGGCATGAAAAGAAATATAGCTAGAAAGGAAATACATCGAAAAAGTATCGCATTTGTTAAGTATTTAACAGAAACTGCATACAATGTGATGATCAGTCGGCGAAGCATTCATCAGTAATTTAAATAGATATTGATAAAAGAGTACATATACATATGTATTTATATTTAGTCGGCATTCCTCGGATAAACCTATATCACAGTTCTAGTTTGATATTCTTCGCTTTCAATTTGCCTTTCAGTTGAAAAATCACTTATTTTTCTGTTTCGAAGACGTATGTATTATGTGAGATTTTCGTAAGTTTATGTAATTCGTACCTTATTTTTAATAATATTATTAATGTGTATAAGTTTTTTTGTACAGTGTTTGACATCTGGGGTCTCCATTAGATCTTGTGCATCATGTAAAACACTTCTAATTTAATATTACCATGCTCAACCTATGAACCATTTTTAAATAAAATATCAAAAAGAACCAATAATGGCAACACCAAAACTCAACTTTAACTTCTGGCAGCAATAGTATTTTTGCGTTACTCCCAATATTCTCCGGTCATTGTTTAAAATTCGCCACTAAGTAATAGAAACAACAGCAAGTCGTGGAAGGCCATTCCCTAATTTTAGCCGAATTTTGTATACTACTTTTTATGTCTTACTTATAGGTTTGCTTGGTGTAAGTCTTTTAGTTGACATATGTATAATTTAAAATTTATGCATACATTTTTGCGAAAAAAAAATGTTTAAAGATGAAAATAATATTAAAGGCCATTGAGAGTCACCGAAAGATCACATCCACCACTGGCAGAGAAGCTAGAGTCTGAGATGCAGCATGCGCCGTCTCAAATATACAATCACTCATACAGAAGTAAAAGGTCAAAATTCTACCAGCTAATTTCATGATAATCATCATCATAAAAAAGTAAAATTTAATGTTCATGCTTGGCCATTTACGAGTATGTATTTTTATATATCACATGCTATACGGAAAAAAAATAATTTCAAAACAATATTGAAAGGTCTAATTTCAGAGCATGGCACATGCACTCCAAGCATTTGAAACAAGCATGGGAATCGCTTTGCTTTCGCAACAAGTATAATCACACATGCATTTTAAGGTACTTTTGTAGATAAATGCATAAGTATTTACATATGTGTTCTATATATGCATGGACAGAAGTTTTTGATACAATTCAAGCAAGCTCAAATTATAGCTATGTCAAAAACTTATTTTATTATTTAAAAACACAATTTCAATTGAGTGAATTCATTAACAAAACAAATGCCATTCTTATGATATCATTCCCAATTACTTTTGCATGCATATTTAAATTTAAAGAAGTGAAAGGTTTTTTTGGCTTTAGAAAAAATATAAAATAAAAGTCAAGGGTCTAAAATTAAATAAAGTTAGATTAGCACCTTAAAACCATCATAGGTCCAACTTCCTAATTTTAAGATGCACGTTTGTACGTCATACGGAAAATATTCAACATCGATTGAACAAGACGATTTATAGACGGCAGGTGGTTGCCAAATCACCAGTCCATTACTATAGACTATTGCTTTTGTCATAAGTGTGACTTCATAATGACCATCAGCACTGAAAAATATATATTTTTAGACACAACTTTTTAGGCACAACTCCTGTTACCATGTAAGAATACGCCAATAATTTGTATTGCAAACTAATATACAACTATAATCATTATATTCCATAAATTCATACATACATACATATGTATACAAAATATATACATATACGTATATACACATGTTTGTATTTGATTAGTATATCTATACATAGATATTAATTATATATTGTATATATATATATACATATGTACATACATAAAGAGGAATACACATAAAATTATTAGATATTATTATTTTTTAGAATAATAATTAAATATCTTTTGAAAAGATTTTGACTTTTTATTTTTAGTGTAAATAATTCGTCAATAATTTTTGGAAACGCACTTTTAAATTTTTGGGTATACATCTTATTCGTAAATAGTATGTATGTGGATCATAGCTTATTTTTTATCGTTACACTTTTCAGATATTTAATCCGATCAGTCAAAACATTTCTATAGCCCCTGGTTGAAAAAATGGAACCGCACTTGCTAAGCTAATTCTTTGTTTCCTTTTACATTCGATTTCAGGTTTATATTCATATATATGTAGTTCCCAGAAAGTAGAGTAGATTATTGGAGGTTATTATCACATTGGAACGAAGTTTCTAACGCACAAAAGGAAGCTTTCATGACTAAGTTTCGTTTTTTATATAGACAGGATGTAGATATTTTGTAGGAATCGATCGGGTCGGACCACTTATTATATCATATAGCTTCAAAATAAACGAAGAAGAATAGATAGTTACTTATGTTTTGTGAGACCTGTTTAGAATATATGGTCTAGCTTGATGGTTTTTCAAAATTTTTTGATAATTACAATGTGTATTCATATGAAGAAAACTGAACAAATATTGAAACTAATTTGAAAATTTGTTTTGTCTTAAATTGGCTATTCTTGTTGCGGACCTATACCTAAACATATGCAGTATATAACATCGATAGGTTTTAGCTTTTTTAAAACAAGCCTATGTGGTGATCACAACGAACGTGCGGGAATTTATTTGTTCGGCTTTTGTGCCTTCATATCTGAAGGGCAAAGACAATTATGACCATGTTTAATGTTTAGTTTAGTTTAATGTAATCGTTTTTCAGTTAAAAGCTTTTGCCTCACAGCTATTTAAAATAATCAGCACTGAGTTTTCGAAATTTCTGTATAATTTTGTATTTACTGTGTGGGTACGTCTACAACGTCGTCTGACTTAGTATTAGTATGACGTCCATCAATAACATTTTCCAAGATGACCTCATGGTGTAAAAGGTGTGTTCACGCTGGTTTCTACACAATTTAAAAAGGAAGCCCGTGTCGATTGGTGTAAGAAAATTATCAAAAAATACGATTGTGAGGCTGTGTTTAACATCATGAATACCTATATATGAAATTGATCCCGTAACTAAACATTAATCGACGCTATGGGTGTTTCACAGCGAGCCAAATACTCAACAATTCAACGCCTGTTGGGTTGGTTCGGTAACTGGTCAACAGCAACTGGTAATGTTTGCAAAGTTAGGAAGATCAATTTTCAGCAGGGATCGTTAATAAAATCAGCCACTTAGAATAGTCGCATAGAAAAATTAAATATAAAAATATAGTGCTCTAAGGATAATCTATGCATATCCACTTAAATTTTTATATTTTCAGTTTTACGGGTAATCTTTGGTAATAAATATTTTTATAAATTTTTATTAATAACTAACCATAATAAAATAAGGATATGTATACATTTTTTTCAGCTCTCCACCGTTTTTGAACTTTTATTTTTTTTTGTAATCGAAAAAATAAAAATCATCAATGAACACTATGCAACACCAGAGCCGACTTTTTCTGATATATTTAAAGCTTTAAAAATGTTTAGTAATCATTTTTTTTTTTAATTTTTAAAATCCGGTATTTTTTTACTTTTTTCCGTAGGTTGTGAATTTTTCACATATCTGAAGTATCTTAAACCTGGTTGTATTAAACTTTGCAATTCTGAAAAGCTGATAAATGCAGCTATGCAAACATTATCAATTGTTAATTTAAAAGGTTATTATATTCCACACGGCAAGCTTAAGCTACAAAGTGTTTCGGTCCGATTTATAACGATTTATTTACATTTATATGAAAAAAAGAAGCACAACCTCTGACAGCAACAATACAAAAAAATACCAGACTTTAAGAATTTAAAAAAAAATGTAACAGAAAAATATATCAGTAATTAACATTTTTAAGGCTCCAAAACTATCAGAAAAAGTTGGGTTGGTTCATGGCGGTTGTCGGTTGGTTAGAATTTCGTTGCCCAGTGTAATCATTATTTTTTGGTTATATTTTTTTACTCAAATTTAAATAATTTGTTTAAACAACAAAATTTTGCGCTGTCGCAGCCCGACAAAGTTAAAGGAACGATTGCCAAAATATACATTATCGCGCAAAACAGCACAAACTGTGCTCGTAACATAATAAATTTTGCGAAACAAGTGTTTCCCGGCACATACTATTCGGACTTAAAAATGAGCAACAAATTAGTTTGAGGTAACACCCAGATGGGGTTGAACTTTCTCCAAAATCGTTTCGAAGTTACATCAGAAATTTGAAAGCTTGATCACAAGAATTCTAATATTCAATTGGCCTGCTGTTACTCACAGTTCGTATGTCAAATACACAGGATTGCATCTAAGATGTCCTGATCTTCATAAATCGCGTATTTTCTGCCGCCGTTTTGTTTCAAAACAAGCAATTGAAAAACTAAAAGTAATTTTTATCATTCTGTATATTTGAGAAACAACTATGTCAGCTGTTTTTTTTTGCCAGAAGCAATGTTAAAATTAAATATATCGACCACCTAAAAACAAAAACGTAACGTTTTGGCGGAATTGATTCTGCATTATTTTGTCCGAAAATCCACATCTCCGAAAAAAGGGGTTGAAACCGTTAAAAAAAGCGATTTTGGCCCTGACGTGTTAGATATCAGAAATAAAATACTGAACCATCCCATTCAAATGATGCCAAACTGATGTCATGGACATTTAAAGCACGGGTGTATTTATATTTATTATATATTGCATATATCTATTTATATATGTCGATCATATTGGATCCGCTATAAAGTCTGACTTCAAATTACAGTTTAAGAAGCAACCCAAAAAATTACACTCGATGGACAGCGATTTTTCAACAATTAACGTGCCGGTTACATGTATCTGTGATATATATTTGCATTTGTAAGATACTGTTGTGTCTGTGACCAAAAAAATTACGGACGATGACGACCCAAAACTATTTTATATATTAGAGAGATAATGGTTACGCTTGAAAAAAACTATTATTTGACGAGAAGTTTTTGGAGAATTAAGGAAAACCTAACTTTAAATACGGACTGTATTTTACTAACACAGTCCGAGTTTCGCACATCGCCCCACTCATCAGATTTTTTAGCCACCCAAAATATCGAGAGGTCTTCTGCATTGCACACATTTCCTTACATCTAACTGGATCTTTTTATTTCCAGATATTTAAAAAAATTGAGTGTTCAACGTTTTTAAGCGCCAAAAGAGGCTGATAAAGCCTTGTTTTGGACTGCCGCGAAAATATGTTTAAAATGTTCATAATTAGGCGGGAAACTCAAATAGCAACCCACGTATGTATATGTAAATGTGTAGGTGGATATTTAAGCGTCGTTTAAGGTATAGTTAACAGCAGCATTGCAACCATTAAAGCTACCCTTCCCAACATGGTGCTTTACAATCCCGTCAAACGGCTAAAACTTGCAAATAAAAACATAAAATATTTTTATCCCCAGATGCGGGTTGCATTCAAAGTGTAATTGAGTACACTTGTATTTATCAAATATGGATACATAGTAACTGTGTACTCTGCATTAGTGTAGTGATCAATTTTGTTTACGAAGTTTTTGTTTTAAGAAGTTATTAAATTTAATAACTGAGTGCATCCACTTTCAGGCAGATCACAACTTTTATATGAAAATTATGTTAAAAGAAATGAAAAAGAATATAATAGTAATGAAATGTAAGTAGGCGCCAACTTAATAGAGAATAACAAATTAAAATTAAATTAAACACACATTTTTCTAATTACACCCAGGAAAAAAAGGCGAACTCTGAAATTTCATGAATTTTTAACTTCTCCAGCCTAGGGCTCCCTTAAATATTATTTGATTGATAATAAATCGGTGCCTAACAAAAATACATACTAAATTGTTTGATGTCATATTCATATAATTAACGAGGAGGAACGTTGGGAGTTGCTGAGGAGACCGCAACTCTACATTTATACCCGATACTTAGTCAGTATGGCTCTCCACCTGCAGACGCCGCTAATATTAAACGACACGACAAAGAGTGCGTGTCAGAGAGACAGAAAATCAGTCTGAGCGAGTCGTCGGGCGCTGCGTTTAGTATATGAATATGGCATAGTATGAGATAATATGACCAATTAGTAAAGACTTTTGTTTAAAACTGATTTAGCGATAACAAGAAAAATTTGTCAAATGAGATAACAATTGCTAAACCACCGACTAGAGCCAGCTACAGCCTGGTTGGCTGTATACAATGATATCACATTCATCTGCTTCCTTGATACCTATGTACATATGCTAAGTAATTTATTTTTTCTGATTTTTGGTTTTTTAAAACCTTTCCGTCAAAAAACATATAAAAGAACAAAACATATAAATTTATAGTTAAACCAGTCGATTGATTATCATATACATATGTATGTACATTAAGGCTGTGCTTATTTGTATGCAAAAAAAAATGCGAGAATATATCCTTTATCATCCTTTTTGTATCCGTTGCGTATAAAAACAGCACGCCAAAAATGCATGTTATTTTTTTAATTGCGTGCTTTGAAGCGAAACAACGCCAGAAGATTTAACATGGCTAACAAGCTGTGAGTAACAGCATGAAAATTATAAATTAAATTGCTAACGGTAAAAAATTGATATGTTGCACATAAATTTTAAATTAAATA